TGCAGTCTTTTCTTGCCTATAAAAAGGACTCTTACCAGTATGAGCATCTCATACACTGAGCAAAAGAACCAGTATTTCAATAGAAATAAGATCTTTCTTTTCTAAATTCTTAACATAGTCCATTTGTTTTCTCTTTGATACTAGGTGTTGTCCAAGGACCACCTGCACCTCCTCCCCCACCTCCCCTACCCCCTGGCCCAGCTCAGTCTTCAGTAGCAGCCCCCCCTCCTCCTGGCCCACCACCACCACCTCCACTTCCACCCTCGGGGCCGCCACCACCGCCACCACCACCTCCTCCACTTCCTAGCCAAGTTCCCCCCGTTCCCCTTCCACCTCCTGCTCCCCCTCTCCCCGCCTCTGGATTTTCAGTGGGATTTGTGTCCGAAGAAAATCGCCCTTTAACTGGACTAGCAGCTGCACTTGCTGGAGCCAAACTTAGGAAAGTCTCACGGGTAAATACAACTCTTGTTTCTTTTTCCAATTCCTGTCTCTTAAATCCTGTCTTCCTGGTTGTAATTTTTGTTCAAGATTAATAGGAGTATCAAGACTTTTGGGGTAGGCTTAATTCATTGGTAAAAAAGCGTTACAGGATGTACTACCAGCCCATCATGTTTTTATACAGTTGTTTCTATCTTGTATGTGAACTTTGCTTCTTTCATTAAGATGGCGATCATTTTATTTGCACATCTGCTGTTATTTTGTGTATTATGAAGGGTGAAGACTCCTCCAGTTCAAGTGGAGGAGGAGGCTCTACTTCATCTAAAACAGACAGTGGCCGTGGAAATGGACCACTTCCCTTGGGAGGCAGTGGGTTGATGGAAGAAATGAGTGCCCTGCTGGCCAGGAGGTAAGGAGCTGTTCCTGCTGTGCTCCAGCCAGTCATTGTAGAGGTAGGATTTTGGGTGCCTGTTTGCAGATGGCTAAAGATCAAATAAGCATCGGCTTCCTCGTGTGGTTGCTTTGTGAACTTGATAATGTTTTATGAATAGCCATTTTTACTTGAGGGTAATAGAGTACTTTTCTTCTGTGTAAGTCTTTGTGCAGCAGCAGGGGAGGGGATACAGACTTCAAGAGGAGAAAGAATTGCACAGTCGCTTTGGCAGGAGGGCTTTGTTCTTGAAAGTATTTTGAAAGTACTTTTTTTAAACACTAATTTTCAATTGTCTAGCTGAGAAGCTGTGTGTGTCTTTATTTACAGTAAACAACATTCTTCCATCTTAAAGCCATGATGATCTTGGTAACTTTTGTCTCTGCTTGTAGGAGAAGAATTGCTGAAAAGGGATCAACAGAACCAGAGCAGAAAGAAGATAAAACTGTGAGTTGAGAAATCTTATCTACTTCACATTATTCAATACTAGATTATGAGAAGGATTCTAATGGTGTACATGAGGGATTATTTATACTTTACCATATATCTGTACACATAACCGCTATTTTGTGGTGCCTAGTGCTTGCACATTTTCTACATAAAATTGAGCAGAACCATTTAAATCTATATAAAAACTGAAATAAATATTTAAATAGTTGCGATTAATCTGTTAGATTCACAAGAGTCAAAAGTGTTTGTTTTTCCTCTCTTCCCCCTCTTCTCCCTCTCCTCCCTTTTAATCAGGAAGAATCAGAGTCTTCAACTTCTAAGGTTTCTTCAACAAGCACGTTGCGATTGACTCTTGTGAATCTAACAGATTAAAAGTGTTTGTTTTTCCTCTCTTCCTCTTCCCCCTCTTCTCCCTCTCCTCCCTTTTAATCAGGAAGAATCAGAGTCTTCAACTTCTAAGGTTTCTTCAACAAGCACACCTGGTAAGTAGCACAGGTTTGTGAATTCTGTGACTCTATATAATGCTAAAACCTAATGACAAATTGCAGTCAGCTGTGTTGAATTTTGAAGCCTGCCTCTTCTCCCAGGATTACAGCCTGGCATTTTGCTGTAGAATGCATCCTAGTTCAGAAGTGTTTCAGAAGATGACAGATGAAAAGAGCGTCCACTGCAACACTGCACTTGGTATTAGGGTCCTCCTGTGTCAAACCTATGGGGCTGATGCACAGAAGGCAGTTGGTAGTGACTGTGAAAGCAAGTTGTCTTAGTCATTGCAGGACACAAGTTGGAACAGTAGTTTGTTTCCTTCAAGGCAGACGTACAAGATATCAGACAGAAACAATTACCGCTTCCAGGCACTTTAGTAAAGATTCCCTCACGTGGAAGTGTCCTTTCTAAATCAACATAAGTGCATGGAACAGAATTTAACCATGATTCCTCTGCTGAGGTACGCTTGTGGCAGAGTTTGGAAGTGCATAGCCAACACTTCTGCCGCAGTCAGGAAAGCTTACATTTCACCAATTCTGTAGTTGGCCAAGATGTATTGTCAGCATGCTTATGTATTCATACTGTAAATGCTTGTGTGACTCAAGGACTCAAGTGACACTCAAGACTTTCTTCTCCTGTCCTGTAGTAGTACCTTCTTGTACCTTTAGCTTCCGTGGCCACCTCCTCCTGTGTGCATTCAAAAGGGGGAGGATGTGCCATATGAGCTGCAGTTTGTCATCCCAAAAGATACTGGAAGCAGAAGGAAAATAGCTGGGTAATGAATATACCAGTCTTCAATATGTTCTAGCTTTCTCTGTTGATTGCTTCCCCATGCGTGTACTTCTTCACTGGATGATTCAGCCGCTTGATGGTGTGCAGGCCTTAATATTGAAAACCACTGCTGCAGAGTGAACAAAACACAGGCAGCCACTGGCTGTGTGATAAAAAGGAGAGCTAGGAGCTAAGTGTATCTGAACAGAAATAACTGAAAAACTGTAAGTATTGAGACACAGCCAGTAGTCTAAAGAAATTAGACTGCAAGGCAATAAATGACTTAAATCAAGTTTTTAATCCACCCCCCCACCCTGTAGCGTAGGAGTTTGCTTCATTCTGTTAAACAGAGATGATATTAGCCTTTGGGAAATGACTGCTTTTGGAACACTTCTAATAATATAGGCCCAAAAGAGGGAAATCAGAAACAGTGGAAGTGAAGTGGTTCCTTTAACTGGTTGTCATGATAAGAAACCTCATCAAACTTTTTAAAAATGTTGAATGCATCCAGAGGTTTGTCTGTTTCCTTCCAATGGAGAGATTTCACTTCCTTTCTTGATGATGTAAAATGCTCTGGTAATGCTGTGTCTCATCATTGGAACATGTCTTTAAAACATTTAAGAAGAATGCCTGGCATATTGAGCATAGACCAGGTCAAAAATTTGTGTAATTATGTCTAATTTGCATTAATAATATAACTGAAATTGTTACACACAGACTTGCTAGCATTTACCTCTTTGGTGTTGCACTTACCCTTCCTATGTGCTGTTGTAGTGAACTATGAGAGTTCCACATTCTTTGTCAGGAGAAGTATGATGTTGAAAGGGGAAGATGTTTCTTCTGGCCTGAGCTTGGGTCTCCTTGTATTTATTTTGATAAGTTTCAACGCTGTTAAGGGGCTGTACTCCCTTTCTCTCTCTGCTGTTGCTTACAGGGAGAGTTACGCAATGATTACTTACATGTATTTGTCCTTTGCTGTATATGGTATATTCCTTTTAGGGGAAGAAACACAGTCATGTAAAGCTTAGTAAAACCTGAGTTAAAACATGTTGGGTAATAATTTAAACAAAACAAGCTCAAAACCATGAGATAGGCAACAGGCGAATGACCCTTTGTTAATGTTGCTGTTTCAGCTAGATAAGGATAATCATGTGGTCCTTAAGCAAGCTGCAGCCATAACAAAAGTTTCTGAATTTGCAGATACAGCTAAAATCCTGCTAAAATAACTCCTATGGCAGGTCAAGTTTTGAAGCCTAGTACATCAAATGAAGCTTGAGACTTATTACTGACACTGGCAACCTGTAGCTGGCTGGGTCACAGGCTATGCTAGTGGACTTCTGCAATTCAGACATTCTTCTCAGTATCTAGCTGCATCCCAGAGAGCTTCCTGGTCATTGTGGGACTCTGAAAGGGCATGTCTGCCTCTCAACTTGCCCAGCTTAGCAGAGCTGAGCAATACAGGAGAAAGGGAACAAAACAGACCAACCAACCCAAAATCTGAAGTAAAGACTGCTAAGATCAGTGGCACATTAAAGTCCTGAGTAAGTAATGATAGGAAGTAAGTAATAACAATTCACACTACAGAAAGACTGTTTTAACTTGTGCGAATTGGAAGGAATGAAGCATTTGTGGTGATAGATATGTCCTGAGGAAGGGCTTAGGTGAGACCACTAAAGGGAAAAAAAGGAGAAAAAAAAAAAAAAAAATCATCTCATTTACTGTGCAAGAACACAAAATAAAGAGTCCTTAACTGAACTGTTTGCCTTGTTTCCTCTGTCATATTTGTCTGTCTGCTGTTGACAAACAAACCTGCACAATAAAGCTAGCTTTCACACATGACTTTAGATCAGTGTAATAAACTCAGGAGAGCGAGCCAGAGTTTATTGGAGAGGATTCTAAGCAGAGCTGAAAGCAGGCTCCATAATGGAAAGTGAGGCATAAGCGTATATAAAGATAGATTGGGCTTTTTAAACTTGACTACAAATCAGACTCATGCCTATAGACAGGCCCCGAAGTCCTCTTCTGCAGTGTATAATAGAGCAATTGCCTGTAGAGTGTAAGCTATGCAGACGTAAAAAGAGATGCACAGTAAAACTTTGTCTACTATCACAGGTGGTAAGTAAACTACAGTGTCTTCTGGATCCCAGGGCAATGTGCCTTTAGTTTTGAGTCTGTATTGTTTTGAAAGGGGGAAAGGATGTATTGCAACTTTAGAAGTATCTTTTTGGGACAAGACTTTGGAAAATAAATACCTTGTTGCTGAAAGATATTCTAGTTGTGTGAAGTTTTATCATCCCTGCTGTCATGTCATGAAAATTGACGCTGAATTAATGTTATAGAATTCATTGACAGCTCAGGAGAACTCCTTTAGCTTAAAAACATCTTCCCCCAGTATTTGAAGCTGACTATTGGGTATCTATTTCCAGAATTCCATGTTTCACAACTGAAGCAATCAGATGCATAGACAGACCTTCTCCTAATTGGATTAAGAATCAAATGGCATTTACAATGTCTAGAACAAAAGTGCAACTTTAAGATGCTATCACAACATCCATGGTAGTATGACTAAAACCAAGACGAATACAACAGGATGTAGCTTAATGTGAAAGAACTGATGCAGTGTAGTAACAAAAAACCCCCAAACCAATGGCTGACTTAAGTTGCCAGGTACTTGAAGTTTCCTGACATAAATGACACAAGGAATAGAAAAAGACAGTTTTTAATCTTCTCACTATGTTTTCCAGAACTAACAAGAAAGCCTTGGGAAAGAACAAATACAGTGAATGGAAGCAAGTCACCTGTTATCTCCAGGTACTCCCTTTTCTACCAGCTATCTTTTCCTCATGTTTGCTGCTGTTGTTCATGCTGTTAAAGATACTGGACTAAAATAGCAAAAATCACCTTAATAGTATTAAAAGCAAAATGTATGGGTTCAAAATTACTGCTGTGAAACTGCTTTTGGCAGTTTTAATTTGGAATGAAGAGTTGCTTTTGGAGAATGCTAGTAAGTGAACTTGTTGACAGTAAAGTCAAAAGTAAAACTCAGAAAGATTCCTTAACAATTACTGTTGTATAACTTCAGTTATTAAGGTGTACATTTGCCCACAGCGATGTTTAATTCTTTCTATTTCTTTAAATTTTAAACCCTGAAATTTCCTGCAAGGGAAAACCACATTCAGTGCTGTGATTCAGATATTCAGTAGTAAATCTAGTGAATGGGTTTTCTCCTTTCTATTTCTGTGCTAGTCATAGAATGGTTGTCTAGATATTTAAGCCATCTTGGTAAGATTTGATTCTGTGACAGTTTTCAGTAGCTGTCTCATACCAATCCAAGGAAGTCCATCCTAAAGAAGCGTAGAAATATTATACATCCTTCAGTGCATTAACGAATGTTTGATAACTTTTCAGCTGGAACTTTGGTAGGCAGTGGACATTTCAGTAAGCATTTCAGTAATGCAAAAGAATGAAATGGCTACTTTAGCAATTTTTTTTTTTTAAGGTATATTTAATTGCCACTTACATTATGCAGAAAGCTTGTGGTTCATTTTAGAATTCCTGTATATTCTGCATACTGAGGTTAAAGGATTCTGACCTGTGATAATCTGACAAAGTAACCTGAATTTCTTGAGAGAAAACAAAAGAAGATGTTAAACTTGAGAATGCTTTGTTTGAAATGACTTGAGTCCTTCTTAAAATTCTGGCCTCTTGGAATCAGCTCTGCAAGATTTGGTGATTAGAGAAGAAAAAACAATTATTCTCTTAGTGGCATTACTTTGGTTGACGTTGCCATCGAGGTCTTCAGTTCTAAAACGCAACGCTAAATACTCTCAGCCTCCATCAGTATCCTTGTCTGTCTTTCAGAAATAACTAAGTGCACAAGCTTAAAATGCCTGCAGCCTTGATTCTGGCTGCTTGTTTTGTTTTTTGTCAAAAAGCAGGTAACATTGGTGGTGATGTCCTCTCTGTAACAAAATACTGCTTTACCTTTAGCCTTGCCTTCCCCCTACCTTCTTCCCCCTCACCCCCTGGTAGGTCTTCCCTGCTTTAACCGAGGTCTCTTGTTTTCAAGCAGATTGAGGTATCAATACGTGGCATTGAGGGAGAACTTGTCACAGAAATAATTTGTGTAAGGAATCCTAAAGAGCATTTCTCTTGAGACGTATTGAGAAAAATCTCTCCATCAAGCTTTTGTCTTCAGTTACCCAATGGAAAATGTTGATAGAATTCAGCTTGATGAGAGCCTCACTGGGTGTATAGTCTGAAAGCTCTTCCAAAACAAGAATTCCATGCTTATTGAAAGTCAGTATTATTTTCCAGCGATGTTATAACCTGCTGGAAGGTGCCATAGCATATATTTTAAGACTGCTGGTACAGTTTTCTAGTTAGTGTTGACAGTTTGCCCTGCCAGGATGAGGAAAGTTCCATGGACCGAGAAAGAAAAGGTATTAGTAGAAGAGGTCTCTTTTGAATATCCTTGCATTTTTCTTAATTCTCTAAGATTGCCAAGTCTAGCTCAGCAAACAGCTTGTTAAAGTAACTTTCTCTGTGTGAGTTAGTCAAAGGGTGCTGCTATTTGAAACACTAATAATGTGTTTGCCAAAAGGGGATATCTTTCACCTGGTAAGGCTTGAGAACCTGCTTCTGACCTCTACAGAGAGGATATGAGTCGCTTATGGGAATTAAACAAAGCATACCTAAGAAACCATCAAGTAAGCAAAATTTTCTCTTCAGAGTTTCCAAACAGGTAGACAATGAAGGAGTTGTTGCTTGGAATGAATGTTCTAAGTATTTTAAAATAACTGGTGTCTTGTTTAAAATCAGACCTTTTTTTTGTAGCAGACTTTGAAAAGACTTAAGCTATGTGCTTTTCATATTTCCTGAAACATTCAAATAGAACTCTTGCAACACAACTAGTGAAACCCCATGGTGTTTAAGGTGCTAAAACTGAATGAAACTAAGACCCATTATAGCTTGTTAAGGTAGTGTTTCTCCCCTTCATAGACGGGAATCTCCATGGAAAAATCTGCTTGCTTCTGAAAACAGGTTCTATGATTCATTAAACAGGTATCATCCTGTTGGGATTTGAGACTTTCTAATAACCATTTTGACCAGTTCAGGGTTGGACTTTTTCTACATGGATTAGTAATCACCACAAACACCACCAGGTTCCTCTTCATGTTTTGTTTGTGCAGTTGAGCCCATTTTTGGACTGGTTAAAGGCAGATGGTGTCAAAGGCAAATTGAGATGGCTTAAGAACCAGCTAAGAATTCATTAAAAACTGGTTTTCTGGCACTCGCCACCTGCAAAGGTACAAATTCCTGTTGGATATGCCAGGATTTAGCGAACCACTTGCAGTATTTTGAGAAGCAGGTCTTTAAAAATGTAAGTTTAGATACACACAAATAGCAATTAATTTCCCAGGTGAGTTTTCACATCTGCTTTTCGCAAATTAGGTAAAGATAACCAATAGATTTTGCCTGCCTTAAATATCGGAAAGGAAAAAAAAAATAATAAAAGGACCTGTTAAACATAAATTAATGTTTCTGTTGGGAACACTTTCACAAGTTAAAATTAACATCATATGTATTTTTAGCTGTAGATCTCAGTTTCACTGTCTGTAGTGGTAGTCATAAAATACTGACATTGAAAACCTTCAGGTTTTAAGAGCTTTCCACAGGTAAACATGTTACAGAGCCCCTCAGAATTACTGAGTCAAATTTCAGCTTTGTTTTTAATGACGGCACTCATTGTGGTGACTACTTAATCTTTTGTATGAAAAGTTCCCCTTTTAGCTACTTATCTTGGGTGGTGTATTCTGCATGTTGGCATGAATAAAATCTTTCTCTTGCATGCTTGATTTCAAGTGTTTTAGGGACTATCAAGGTTGCCTCACTCTCCTCTTAGGCAATGCTATGAAAAACCACATGGGAGAGCTCTTTAGCCATCTTAGGATAGAATGGTTGGGATATTTTATTCACCAAATTTCAATAGTTAATGCCTGTCTTAACGGCAACTACATTCACCATTAATCTTTCTTCTGAGCAAGTTGAAGAAGGAAAAATAGGATAATTTGGGGAAGACAGCTAGATTTGCCTGAGATTAGAAATTATCTAGTTTACAAATTACGGTCTTTCATATTTGAATGAAGAATGTCTTGCATTTCAGAAAGCAAAAATGGAATATATTCTTAAGACTGAGTGGTAGAGTTTATAAGGAGGCTTTCCTGTTGAGATTTTTGACAGATAGCAGGAGTATATAGTGTATGATTGGTAGAGCCATCTTTTTATTCTGAAGACCTGAAGCAAAAGAAACATGAAGTAGCCTGTCTATGAAGAGTGCTTCTTTAAAGTCATCTCATTAAAATATTACAGTCATGAGTAATTTATTAAAATATTAAACGTATATTGTTGTTTGGATTCTTCCATTAAGGCAGGTAGTAGGTGCCTGTTATCAATTGCCAGGAATTGCATTTGAGAGGACACTGATTCTTTTTTCAGTCATGTTGGGTAAATGCTGTGATGCCATAGTGTATGGGAACAAAGCGATAGTCAGTGGAAATGATCAGAAACTATATATGGAGAATCTGAAATACTCCAAGAATTCTGCTTGGAGTAAGTCAGTGTTCACAGTTTGAGGTGTAAACTGCAAGTAACACTTTAAATATCAGGTACGTGATGAAGCAGCAATTGCCAAAGATCTCATCTTGATGAATGTTTCTGAGCAAGGAATTCTTTCATAATGAACTAAGCACTGTCGATATCCGAAGCGTTTTGTAAAAGATCCTAAACTGGTTTGTCTTCATAGCATTAGTGCACACTAGATTTTATGGTGGTTGCAAGGTGAATTCTATTTTCCAGCTTTTTCCACTATCAAGTTACTGAATATTTAATCTTCTGTCTTACTTGGTGAATCATGTCTTTCATTTTGGCGTGTTTCAAACAATAATAATGTTAGCAGTTTCTCTCTTGGAACTTACATATAAACAGCTGTAGCAATTGAGTATTGTGATCCCAAGCGAACAACAGAGCTGGTATAGCAACGGGATGTTCCTGCACCTCTCTGCTTTGATGCAAAGTCCAGCAGCAAAGGGACAGTTAATACAGTCCCTTCTGCTGCCTCCGTTTTGCATGGTTAACTGCTGGCAGTGTTTTCCTAAATGGATGCTGCTAGGCTTGACATAACTAACTTGTCAGTGCACAGAAATAATCATGAAGCATTTAAAAAAATTGTTAAGAGATTCTACGAGCTACACGGGAGTTACTGCCTTTTGAAAAGATGAATGGGCTCGAGTGAAACACTTCAAAATGACTTGTCAGCAGAATTACTCAGTAGCTATGAATGTGTATGAAGTTTTTCATGAAGTTTTTTTGAATGTGCCAGGCTTTTCAATGAGACAGGTGTGACCTATTGCAGGTTAGGGGGAGGAAAAATGGGCAACTCTTGTGTCCTGTGTTGTTTCTTAACATTTTTCACACTGGGAACCTAACAAGAGGTAGAAGTATCTGCTGGAGGGCACAAATCTGAGAAAGTTCCTGTAGTATCAAAATGACACTTTAACGTGCATGCCCTTTTCTGTTGGGAGTCACATTTTGAGTGTTTTCCTTCAGTTAGCAAATAAGAAGATAGTCCTGTTGGGTTATAAAGTCATCAAGACAAACCATTGTACTGAACAAAGAGAATGTAATCAGACAATTTCTTCATGAATGAACTCCTGTCTTGTAAGGGAAGACGCATGAAAGCTGAAGGTAGTGATTTTGTAAAACCAGAGAGAGAGAGGTTCACTACTCTCTTATGAGTGAGAACACAGCTTTTTTTGCGTTAGCTAAATTAAAAATACATAAATAAATGGAGAAACTAAAGTAATGGATATACTGCTTGTCTTCCTCACACGTTCTGCTTTATTCTGGAAAAAGATAGTTCTATACGGTGTATTTGAGAGAAGATAAAGCGCAGAACTCTGCCTTTCCTGCTGGTTTGTCTTTTTTTGTTCCTGGCCTCCTTCCATCGTAATAAATAAGGCTGCACCCTCAGGTAACGAATCCAGAAAAATGCAGTGTTTAAAATTCTGACATAGGAGGAATTCATTCAAGTGAGACACTGAGTTTAGGCCAGGCCTTTTTGTTCAGTGATGCCACATACAAGGATGATGAAATAGGACCCAGTTTAGTCTACTCATACCCTGCCCTTCCTTAATGTTAGTGTACTGTGATAATTCTAAACATTGGGGAAACCTCTTGAAAAAATGCAATGTTTAACGAATTCCTCCTATGTCAGAATTTTCAAGTGAGACACTGAGTTTAGGCCAGGCCTTTTTGTTCAGTGATGCCACATACAAGGATGATGAAATAGGACCCAGTTTAGTCTACTCATACCCTGCCCTTCCTTAATGTTAGTGTACTGTGATAATTCTAAACATTGGGGAAACCTCTTGACATGAACTATCAGCAATTTTATCAACAGCTTCTTTTTGGCTTAACGTTTTAGAGAGTAACAGATAGCGAATATTAGTCAAGATGTAAAAAGTAATTAAGAACAGCAGAACATTCCTCCCTCTTTGTCCCGCACCACCCACGCATCCATCCCTGCTTTGGAGAACTGTTTCTGTATTACTGCTGTTAGCATCTACGTTCTGTCTCTGCCCGTAGCTGTAGGTATGCAAGGCCCTGTGGAAGGGTAGTAAGTACGTGAGTCTGAGTTACACCTTGTATGAACAGAGGGGATTGGAAAAGAGATGTGAGAAGGTAGCAAACCCGCTTCTTCTGGGAAGTGTGTTAAAAGTGCAAGATGATCTTGGTAAGCAAATTTTCGATGTTTTAAGAGAGTATTACATAAGCAAACGTTGAACATGAGAGGAAGTTCTAGTGTTTTGGACTATGTCAAGTATGATCTTACAAATCTTGCTGCTGTTACAATATTTGCTTTCAGTAGCTTTAGAAAGCAATTGGTGGAAGAATTTAAGTTGAAAGGGAGTTAGATAAGGTTGCTTGGCCATGTCCTGTCAAATGCTGAAAATCTGCCGGGGTGATTCCACAGCATTCATCCAGTTAGAGCATCAACCTGTGGTCATTAGTTAGTGGGAGTGTTTCTTGGAGAAGGCCTCTTTTGAAATGAGTAAGTTGTTGAAAAGAGAGAAGGGAAAGTATTTGACATCTGAAGGCATTCAGCCTTTTGTGCCCATTATGAAAAAATCAAACTCATGACAGTGAAGTCTGTCCGATACTTGCAAAGTTCTTGTTTTGAACTAGTAACTCTTGTTCTTATGGTAATTAATATTTCCAGTGTGTGGAAACTCTTCTTGGTGGTTCCTTTCTATTCTGTGTGGTATTTTGGGTCTGCCTGATTTTCCCACCCTCCTACTCCCAAAATTTTATTTCTTTCTGATTCTTTACTATGTTTTTGATAGACAAATGTTAGCAAGTTTGATGGGGAAGTCCTGTGTACCCTGTAATAACAAGTGACCGGTAATTCATGGATGTGTTTCTGTACTGCAGACCAAAATCTACACCAACGGGGCAACCCAGTGCCAATGGAGTACAGTCAGAAGGTCTAGATTATGACAGATTGAAGCAGGTACGTATATAAAGCTTTGAATAGAAAACTTGGGTATAAGGACTTTTAGCTGTCCAATACCAGTTTTTAACTGTTTTGTTAACTAGTTCCAAACTTAAATAATGATTTAGTAATCATTAGTCATTATTTTTTCCCAGACATGTTTCAGTATTCTTATGAGCTGTAACAGTAGGATGGCGGCTTACACAGCCCCGTTACTTTCTCACAGATGCTTGTTCCTGCTTTTGCATTAGACAGCACACACAAGATGGTGTTGATATAACTTTGGATGGAACTGGGGAACTGGTTTGCCTGGAAAACCTTTCCTTCTCTTCTCTCTAGCCAAACAAACAAGCAAGCAACCAACAAGCCCTGAGAGCAGTTCTAGCAGAACAAGTATCACCATGTTTTCATGTTAGATGTGAGCACCTGTGGAGTCCTGAGTTTGGTGGTGAAAGAGCACCCCGTGATACTGCCTTTTGTGTAGCTATCCTGGCAAAGAGCAGAGGAGAGTCTTGTGGGAAGAAGGTGGCAGCTTCTGGCTGTTAGATGAGGAAAAGACATTAAGGGCTACTTTGGAAATACTTTGGTAAGAGTTACCGGTAGGTGGGAGGCCTTTATCAAGTACAGTTGCCAAACAGACAAAGCTGTGCAACCAGAGGCTCAGCAAGGGATCTGTTGTGACTTGTCTGAAGACAGGAGCGATGGGTTAAGAGCATTAGTGCTCTGTAGACCGAGCAGATCTTCTGCGTTTGTAGGAACAGGAGCCCCAAGAGGAGAAAGTGGGCGTAAGGTATTTGTGTTCCTGTGACTACTGAGAAGTGCTTCTTGGTGTACCTGGTGATCTTTAGGGTCTTTGGGACTGGCAAGGCCCAGGTGTGTCAGGGAAGCCATATTGCCATGGGTGAGCAGCCTTTCAGTGTGGTGTCGCTGGTGTAGGTGGCAGACTTGGAAGAGGAGTGGTGTGATGGGGGTGGGTGGGCTTGCTGGTGGGTTGCTGAGTGCTGCTTGGGTAGAAGCAGTAGTGCGCTTTGTTCGTGCCTGAGTGGTGTGGTACGGGGAGTCAGGTTTGAGGTGTTGGTGCTGTTTTTTGGCTAGGTTTGTGTGTGCTGAGCTGGTGGAAGCTCCTTTTCTTGGGGAGGATGTTGAGCTGGTGCTAGTGAATTTTTCTGGGAGAGGCTGTGAGTAGGCAGTGTACTGGGGGTGTGATGTGCCTCTTTTGCAGGCCAGGCTCTGCTGAAGTAAGTGTCGTTGAAGAGGAGAGTGACTTGCTTGCCATTGCCGGGGGGCTCTACATTCAGGAGTCTGTAGAGCGGTGGCTGGTTGTACAGCGGGGCGGTTTCCAGACTTAGCAGGTTTTGCGGTCGGAGGAGGGGGGGTGTAGGGCTGTGGTGGTGGTGTTGGGGGTGGTGTTTTCTAGAGGGTGTGAATAGTGGAGTTTGGCTCAAGGGACTGGTCCCCTGAGTTGGGGAAGGTCAGTTCTAGATTGAGATTCTACCTCAGTGGTTGGTTCTAGAGAGCATTCTAACTTGGTTGTTGGTTCTAGATCATGTTCTGGTCAGCTTGTTGGGTCTAGATCGGGTTCTAGTCTGGCTTAGTTGTTCCGGAGCGTGGGTGGGTCTGGGGATTGTTCTAGAATCTTAATTCAAGGAGTACTCTTGGTTTGTCATCTCAAGAGCATTTGCAGTATGCTTGCTACAGCTCCCATGAAATGCCGCTGCTGCTAGCAGGCTGGCTGCCCAGGTTTTTTCCTTCTGTTTTGTTTTTTGGGGTTTTTGTTGTGTGGTTTTGTGTGTGGTTGTTTTTTTTTTCCCTGCGGTGCCTTCTTTTCTTCTCTGTGGTTCTTTTGAGTTGAAGGCACAGAGGATGGGCATCCTATCATCCCAGAAAGCACAGCTCTCCCAAGTTTCCAGCACGCTCACTCTTGCTGCCTCTCTTAAGATTCTCTTCTCTGGAGCCAAAATCACCTCACACCTTATTGCTACCAGACACGTGGCAAGCTCTTCCTTGCCACTGCCCTTCCCAGCAACTGTTGGCCATGCTCCTGCTCCAAGGCTTCTCGCTGATTGCCCAAGAGTCCTCTGTAAGGCTTGGTGAACTGGGAGACCTACCTCTGCAGCTTTGCTACATGCTCCTACGCTAGGAATTGCTTCAGGCGCGGAAGCTGTGTCCATGCGACTCTTCCGCCATCAGCTCACTAAGGACTCAACAAGTCTACAGTGCGCTAGAGGAATTGCACGCTCAGTTGCCAACAGTGTGCTTGACCCCAAAGCTCAAAAAAGAAAGAGCTGAAATCTTCTGCATGAGTTTTCTGCTGACTATGGATTTCACCAGGAGCTGACAGTCTCCTCTGCAGAAACAGGCACTACCCCCCTGCCCTGACTCTGCTTGTAAGAATGTTGTCACTAAATCATCAGTTAACATCACTCAAAACAACGCAGGGGACAGCACTGCACTCCGGCACCTTCATTCCCTCATGTTCCACTTTGCAACTGGGAATACCTTGATAACTTGAGCTCTTTTTCGTTTTTCTTGGAATGTTTCCTTGTCTTGCAGTTTTTAGTTAACTGCTATTCTTGCATTCCACATCACATTTCGTCTGTAGCAAAGCTTTCTCATTTTAAAGGGATCTGACAAGTTTTGGGTTTGGTGGTTTTTACTTTTTTTTTATTTAGCAATTACATTAGTGCAATATTCTGACTTCAGTATGTCCCTTCTCCTTTCCTAAGTTCTGCAGGAATCAGTTGGTAGGACTTCTACAGGAGGTTTTTTCTTCGTTGTACCTGCAGTAAGAAAGTTGTAGGGATGCTTTAGGTTTTGAGGATTAACTTGGAAGCTAAAGGGTGGCTTATGCATTTCAGAAAGCTTAAAGGTTGATGAAGGTTGCAAGAATTTCCGATTTCTCTCTGCGGAAAACTACAGGTGGCAAAACTAATCTGTTCGTGTTGCAAAACTAATCTATTATTTATGCTCTGACACCACAGGACATTTTGGATGAAATGAGGAAGGAATTAACGAAATTAAAGGAAGAACTCATCGATGGTAGGTATCAATCTGTTTGCTCTTCAGTCTAGCTACAGGCACGCAGCAGTGTAAATATAATGTGTTTCTAGCTCAAGAATGATACATTGGTGAAAGTAGCTTGGTTCTTAGTCTGGTGGCATACTTTAATTTGTGCCAGAGCTGTTCTGATTGATGTGCTTCAATGTTTCTGTCCTGTGTGTTTTGTTTTAATAGAACATTGGCATCAAGTAGTGTCTTTTAAAAGTGGTTGGAAGGATGCTGTATTTGAGTGATTTGCAGTTATCCGTAGTATCATGTGGTAGTAGGTGGGTTATTTTTAAATAATCCAGAGTTGCTGAGGTGCATATTTCAAAACTGGTAATATTCAGACTAGGACTGTGCTTCCAGCTTTCAGTCTTCTCCCCTTTGGCCTGTAACATCAGTCAAAGAAAAGAATTCTCACCATTCTCACAGAAGGTATTTTCCTAAGTAGCCTTCTGTAGTTAAGGGAAGTCATTGAGAAAACATAATCGTAAAGGTCCACTAGTCAAGAAGCAAATAAAATTTTGTGTGTGATTTACTACCTTGGTGTGCTTTTTTTTTTTCTTTGTGGAAAGTATCAAAATAAAGTATGGGGAAAAAAGAAAGGGGTGAAGGGAAAAAAAAAAAAAAAAGTCATATGAAACTGTTACCACTGTGGGTAAAGTATCAAATGCCTTCAACTGGTGTCGTAGAAGGAGCTTGCTGGTTTTGGGTTACAGAGAATACAGCACTTTTCTCTCTATTTTGACTGTGCTATGTACCACAGCCTTATAGAACAGTACGATGCAAAGAAGGGCGAACACTGAGGCTGCTCTTAAAACAAACAAAATTAAAAGAAATGAACCCCACACATATGGTCCTTGATAATCCCAGTGGTAGTGATTTTCATCGGGTAAGGTCATAGAATTGCTGGAGATGCAGAACTGGAAAATAAGATGTTAACAAAAATTTTACAGGAGGAAAAAGGGTACTGCCTAGTTGAATGACACTTGTCTGACGCCACGTGAAGTTATCTTGCATATAGGTTATTCACAATATAAGACTGTTGGAGCAGGGTCTGCCGCCTTAAAGGGTCAGTTGTGTATTCTGGCTTTCTGCCTTGTCTTTGACTATTTGAATTGTTAACTTTTCTCTCTCTCTGTCTCTCTCTCTAGCTATCAGGCAGGAACTCAGCAAGTCGAATACTGCATAGAAAGACTAGTACTAAGCCGATGTGACTCTTTAACTTGGTATAAAATTGACTACGTTTTGTGAGCTGTTAGAAGAAGACGGAGACAGACAGACAGACACTTGGAAGGAGGGAGAAACAACCTATTCTGAAAAGCTTCAGACACATCACTCTGGTGATATGCTATTCCCCTCCTAGTTTCCAGCTTTTTTCTGACCTTTACAGCAGGGTGGAAAAGACTCTTAAAGTTACTGTAATGATTATGCAGAAATTCCTACACCTATCAGACAAGATCACAGTGCTTTGAAGTCTACTCATGTCAAGATAAAATTGCACATGTTTCAGAATTTGTTGTTAAGACAAACAGGGAAAAGCTTGGGAAGGCTTTTCAGAGAGGTTTTCTTTATGAATGAAGGAGTTAGCAAGTTATACTGTTGTACTTCAAATGTATCTCAGGTTTGTCTTCCTATCATATCTGATATTCCCATGAATAATTTAAAAGATCAGATGTTTAGAAGTTCAGTTCACAAAACATGGAACAAGTAGAAACGTGTGCTTTTAAAGGGCAATATTTGTAAGTGAATGACCTAGACGGTGATGACATATCAAGATTTTGGAACTTTATGATAGGAAGCCTCTCTAGTTAGCCTTCATGCAATTTTATAGGAAAATAAAAAAAGCAAATACAGTCCAGAGTTTAAAGATGTAGATGCCTTCCTACATTGTTACAATGCTTTACCAAATCTAAGACTTCTACATAATGCGAATCAGCAGTCAAATGTAAATCATTAGTATGTTGTAGATTTACAGTAGGTTTTGGGGCTTTTTTTAGATTTATGCATGTGGACATTTTTGTAATGTAACACAACACAGCCAGCTTTTTAATTAAAAGAAAAGTTGCATGTCACAGAGTAGCCTTTTCATTTGTAAGGCTTAATTTATGCCCAGAAAGACGCGGGATGAGGGAGGGGGAAGGTGACACATTTTTATTACTTTCTACACTTTTTCTTCATCTTACATGCATGTGTAATAATGAGGAAAATGTGACTTTTATCAGTAACCATGTTAATGGAACCAGGTACTTAATGCTTTTGTATCTTTTTTCAGTTTTCTATTTGGAAATTCACTAACACTTCCATAATGGTTCTGAAATTCCCATGTGAACTTAACTCACTTCTCAGTGAGAGAACAAACGTGTAGGCATCTGAATTACTGAGGATGCCCCTGTGTAAGTGCATTGTCCTTTACCTTTTTACCATGACCCTCTGCTTCACTTTTTTTCTGAGACTCCTTTTTTGATTGTTTAATTAAAGAGGACAGCAGTTAGTTACCTTGGAACAATGGAGCGTCAAGTCACAGTAAATGGTCCCTTCTCTTCCTAATTTATCTGCCACCCTCCTTCCAAAAAGCTCAAAACCAAGAAAAAACCCCACAGCTCCACACAACCCAAACCCTGAAAAACAGCAATGGTGTGCCATTGGTTTTGGTCAACAATTTGAGAATCATCTTTAGGGGAGACGATACCTTTCTGTTTCCCAGGGTTTCCAGATTTTATACTTGTAAATTTTTTTAATTTTTTTTTTCTTTTTAATTTTTTAAAATGTGGTACAGTTCAGTGGAATAGAAATTCTGTCAATTGGATCTGTAGTGCTTTGGACAAAGAATACAGAGCAAAATTTTCCCTTTTCCTTTGCGCTGTCAATTTTTCTGAGCCATAACAGTGCCATGTTTGCTTTGGGATCTGTGCTGATCCAAAAGAAACGTTTACTTACAACTTTTGGAGAGGTTAATGTTTCAGCTTAAAAGTATATGCAGCTCCATTCGTAGGACAAATGCTTTCAATAACATACTCTCTTAAGTGCTGAACACCAAAGCAAAACAGCACTTACAGCTTTGGAAAGGCTTCAATGGGAAATTTTTCCCCAATTCAACACTTCCTGTTTCTATAGGCTCAAATTCTAAGAGGAGACTACAGTGGAGATACTGCCTAACTCCATGTATTCATCATTTTTTAAAAAGAAAAAAGGAAAACAAAAACATTTTTCTGCATGCATTTATTGAAGGCATTAAAAAAAAAATCCGTAGCAAGCTTGTCAAGTACTGTTTTTTTCAAAACAAGAGGAGGCATTTTCATCTTTGTTGATGTAACTTTCGTTTTACACGGACTTTTTGAGCATTAAGGACGTTTACCCGTGTCAGAAATCATGTTTGATTTGTTTCTAGGAGAGTTCAGGAGTAGCATAGTGGAATAGCGTGAATGGGTATAAGTGGTCCAAAATTAAAAGCTGAACTACTAGATTGTGCAAGGAACTGGCTTATGCACTAAACGTTTTGTGCCTTGGTCTACAATTAACATGATTTCTGTTTAAAAGAAAAAGGAACAGATGTTGTCTTTTGTGCTGCTTCTACATACATACTTTCTGTCATCCCAAACTACCGAATTAGTTCTTTCCAGAAAATCGGATTGAATTAAAGATTACTGTAGACATTTCCTGTCCTACTGACAGTTGCACCGTTTCCAGAGATTTCAGTATTGAAAATGAACTGCAGAAGCTAAGATTATTTTGCTTGCTGGTGACTAAGTTCTTTAAAAACCATGTTGTGGTGGTTCTGTGCTTTTGTACAATGGATGTCTTAAGCTGAGGGCAGTTTAAGGGATCCTTTCTAATGCCAGGAAGGCGTTGCTTTCCTCAACACTGTGATCTGACCTGTGATAAACCTGCACTATAGACAAGTGGCTACCAAGTCAACTGCAAACCAACTGAATGTAAAAATCTTAGTGCTGGTGCTGAAATCTCTTCAGATAGTCATAATGATTTCCAGTTCATTGTTCTAAAAAGTTATCGAGCATCAAGCATCAGTCAAAGACTGAAGATGATCACTAATGAATGTTGACTTTTCATGCATTTAGGTTTACCTTCTTTTTAGTTTCTCAGTTCATTCTCTGCTATTTTTATCATACTGTGTCATTTTAAATTTCTTACATGCTAACGTTTTGTTTGAGCGAATGAAATAAAATTGCAATATCTACACGTTGCCACCATTTATTTCTGGAACTTCATAGAAGACTCCCTGAGGTTTACTACTCGAATTCCCCAAATTTTTAATGACACTGATCATTCCTTACTCCTTGATTCCACCTCTCCTTTCTGTTTCTCCATCAGAAGATGCAGTAAAGTGAAGACTTAACCTTGCAAAGAATGTAATTGCAGGGACTGCGTAACATTAATGAACAGTAACTGCTGTACATCAATTAAAATCCGTTTTAAATGTGTGATTTGATTTACATTCTCACACAGCATATACTTCGGTCTCTGTATCCAGAGAGAACTTGGAACAGAGGGAGAGGGAAAGACGGGTGGAAAAATAAATGTGGTTAGTCCAACTTTTTCTCTTGCTGCTTTTATGTTCATGGCTTATTTTCAATACTGGTGATAAAGAAAACCTACTATGAAAGATTAATGTAGCTTTCTGTGCACTAAGGACAGTTTTGCTCAATTTGTCTTAGAGTGGAATATTGAGAGTAGCTGTTTAAGTGTCCTTGACTTAGCATTCTGAAAGCTGTACTTCTCTGCTGTTGTTGTTTGTGGGGTTTTGTTCAGAGACATAATGTGATAATCCTGCTTTTGGCAAACCATTGGACCCGGTGGCAATTTTGGCACCAACCTTAATGAGTTATAAAGGGGTTTTTTTAAATAAAGTTATCACTAGATTCTAACATGGTCTGCTCTTAATGGGGTATACTTATAAAGTATATAACATAGGGGTTAAGTATAAACATTTCTGATTTAAATTTCTGAACAGTGTTACAAAATCTGTCCATTGGTGTCAAGAGGTATATGGTATCTACTTTTAAAAGTTGTGTGTTACGAAAGTAGGCAGGTGGTCTGCCATTGATCAAACTGGTGATTATCAGCACTTTACGTAGGCTTTTCTGGAAATGTTCAATTGGCCTCAGTTCCAGTGCTAAATATTACTTGCCAGCGTGTCTCTTACGACTAATCATACAAAGCTTGCAAAATCAGGAGAAGATTCCCTCTGTTTTCGGTAGATGAACAAGACTAGGCTGATGGGGAGCGAGAAAGAACGGGGGGTCTGGGGGAGCCTCTCACCACCATGAAGCCTTGTGGCTGCAGCAGGTGAGAAATGGAGTTGTATGTGGCTCTTGGGCAGACAGCTTTGTCTCTGCCAGTGAACAATGCTTGCATTTGAGACAAAATTGGCCAAAAATGGGCTGTATCATCTCTGCCCAGTAATCTTTGCTCCACTAATGAGAACTTCTCTCTGCAGCTCTCGGTCCCACAGGTTGACAAGTGCTAAGCGAAGTTGGAGATTGAAGTATCTCTGACATGGTAGGTCAGTGTGTGGTCAAGATGTTTTTGGAGGCAGCATTGCTGGATGAAGCCTCTAAATCTGCTTTGGTTGTCCTGTTTCTAATTCATGAGGGAAAAGAAGAAAATAATCGTACAGAGATTTAAATACTCTTCTCAGATACTCTGGAGTCAAGCAAATACCTGTGAAGTTGTGGTGGCCAACTCATACCAAGCCCTCGCAAGGTCACATTCCCACACAAATCTCAAACCACGTGAAAGGGGAACACACAGGCTGCATGCTAGTGACAGCTTTCAAGTACTCTTTAAATATTTATTTTTTTTAAAAAAAAAAAACCTCTTCAAAGAAGCCTTTCGCAAAATGATGACTTGCCAGCTGAAAATATGCAGGTTCTGCAATTTATTGGTTGTAACTGAAAACTCATGTTTACTGAATCTGTTAGTTTTTATTACTTTTCAAATGTGTTTCCATCTCTTGTTTCATGCATGTGATACTTGGTGAGCTGCTACTTGCTATAATAATTTATCATAGAGTCGGTGAGATGCTCTGTGCTCTTGGGCATGAGCAGTTTTGTTGGAGTTCTGCTGAATGGCTGAGCTCGGTTACCACTTGTGGTTAGTGGCACAGGGTGATCAGAAAGAAAACTCCTGGTGTGAGCTATTTGAGATGGTGTAATGGAAGTGCATCTGAAAGTCACCTGAAGGGAGAGATCTCCAGAGATGAGCTGACGGATGACAATGGGGTAGTGCACCGTTAGGGGAAAAAAGGTAAAGAAATCACAAGTCCACAGCAGTGGAAGGCAAACGAGAGGGCTCCAGAAGAGAGGGTTGCTGACAGCCAAAAATGCAAATTCCTTCCTTGAAAATGAAGGAATAGAATTGCAGAAGGCTTTGAAGAAGGTGGCACGTTTAGCAAGGTCAAAATAACCAATGTTGGTTTGAGTATCTGTGTTTCATGTGTTCCCAAGCTTTGTGTGTGAGGAAAACCAGAGGTGACGATGTAAATAACCGTTAATAATCAAGGGGAGAGGAATAAGCGCTTCATAAAATACTGCATTTTCTTGCTGCATTACTTTTCACTTATATGCCCTCATTTTTTCGTTAATGGCATGGAAACACAAGGCGAAATATATAACTGAGGTCATGTCTTTTAGGTATTTGGCTGACATAAAGGGAGAGGAGTTGATAGGACAAGAGGAAACGGTCTCAAGTTGCTCCAGGGGAGGTTCAGGCTGGACATTAGGAAGAACTTCTTCACTGTTAGAGTTGTTAGGCATTGGAACGGGCTCTCCAGGGAGGTGGTGGAGTCACCATCCCTGGAGGTGTTCAAAAAACGTTTAGATGTGGC